GGCTACTATAATGTCTTCAGCCGTTTGCAACAAAACTTTATAGTTTTGTTGCAAATGAATTAAGAATTTATAGTGTTATATATCAGCTTAATTAAACATAATTATATTGTATACGCGGTATAAAAAATCTGTAAAAATATTGCACTGAAATGTGTGCTGATAGTGCGTATTTTAATTATACCTGTCATGTTTGTGGTTTTTCATCATTATGCAGTCTGTTTAAACATATTCAGAAACACATGCAGTGCTACTTAAGACATAACCGATTGTATTTATGGGATATTTTAATATAATTCTGTGTGTATTTGTCCATTCGAATGTGTAAGAATACGAGAAAGAGAGAGTGCAGAAGTGAGTTCTATTTCTTCTTCTTAGTTGAATCTTTTGAAATCACAATAAAAGCGCATACAGAAATCGAGAAGCAGAATCGAAATGTATAATTTTGTAACAAGTAATTTGATTCCTGACCTTATGCATCTGATCTGATTTCCGAAATTGGAATAGCTTTTCGATGCCCAACCCTCCTACTAAATTATTTAATTCTTGCATGCAAAAAGACCTGTATGGCGACTATGGGGCTATGTAAAATATTTTTTACAACTTACCATTTTAAGTTTATCATTTGTCATTTTTTTCCGATAAAGTCGATAATCGTCTGTTACCTGACTGTTGACATCGACATCACGATACTTACGAGACATCGTCGATATACGATAATATCGTCATATCACCCAGCCCTAGTATAAAGCTCAATTTAAAAAAAATCACCCTTATGACTGGTTTTGTGGTCCATGGTCACATATATATAAAGTTAGATTTTATATATAATTTTAATATCACATTTGTAGAAATTACAAATTACTTGTTTATATATATATAAAATATATAAAATCTAACTATGTATTATAAATTGTATATAAACAATCTAAAATTAATATAATAAAATATATTGGGAGTATTTGGGATTAGAATTCCCAAATACTATTTATTGCAAATACAAAGAATTTTAGTTTTGGTGCAAAAAATGCATTTTGTCACAATGAATTTACCATAAACAGGCCTTAACAGCGAAACCACGGCTCAGATCAGACAGTAATGGCCTCGTTCCTGTCATCTAGTAAATCAGCTCATTTACGCCGAAGTCTTCAGGGTAAAACACGGATTGTAGATTAAGTTTGGCGATAACCGAAGTGATGTATGGAAAAATTCTGACCATTAACTTCGCCTGTCTGCACTGCCGACAACACCTTCCATTTAGTGCTGCATTTCTCCCCGGCCCTTTCTCCACTGGCAAGCTAAATGTGAAAATCAAAGTGAATGACATTAGGTAAATAAGACAGCAGGTTGCCTTGGCAACAGGGACAACCCCCGATATCCATTCCTCTAGCCTACCCTTTACTTGCATCCAATTATAGGAAAGTAAGACTGGGTTATTGACAGATTGCCACAAACAGACCGCTGCACATCATTTTTGCACTGTAATTCCACATGAGCATGCTTGTTACAGAAGCTGAGATGGATTCAAGCTGCAGGATATGACAGGAAAGAAACGAGAGAAACCATGGCACAAAGACAACGCCAACACCTCCATAAATATTTAATCATTTGTCAGCCTCTCATTTGAGGGGAGAAAGCTGCAGATCTGCCAGAGAACTGACCACTGTGGATCTTCGAGTTAAGATGCGGGAGCCGTTACCTGTTTGGACCGGGATGGTTTTCGTGCATGGGGTTCACAATGAGAAACGTAACCTCTAAAGCATTGAGACCAAAGCAAATACACTTGTTGCTCGTTCAAAGCTTTGAAATGAATTCAAGTGAGATTTCACACAATGCAAACACTGAATCCATTGCTATGACTTTTAATGATTACAGTGGGCGATACAATAAGACACCTGGAAAGCCCAGAGGAACGTTAAAAAAAGAGCACAGGGACACAATAAGTTCAGCCGATGATTATTAAACACCTGTCTCTGCATATGGTCATGCAGAATCAATACGGAGTAATGAAAAAGATCTACTCGCAATGTGGGAGTGCGGCTTGAAGACGCAAACCCGCACAGAAGTTCTGCATTGGCAGAGTAAGCGAACGACTTACCAGTTTTTTCTTTGATCTCACATAAAACGCTGAAGAGAGCCGGCTTCATCCTGTGGCAGTTCAGTGCGTGTTTTCTGTAAGAGAGAAAAGGAACGTGTTAGAGAGAGTCTGATTATATTCCATCTCAAACAGTCAACATATCGACCGCTATTTGGCCATTTTAAGTTTATTGGCATCTGTCGAACACTGTGCCCAGTTAACAAAGTGCCCTTCTGTCAGTTTCCAAATCTACCAATAGCCTCGTCGATGCGAAATAAACATGTAGAGGGAAATTCAAAGCCACTGATAGATCCATTTATTTACTTACTTTGCATACGTGTTATTTTAGTGCCCGAATGACTAAAGAAATTATTCAAATATGATCATAGCACAAACGCTCCCACAAAATATGTGATCCGAATGCAATTTGCAAAGTGCAGTTCCCCATTTTGTGGGCCAGTTCTGAAGGACACAGCAGACTAACACAATCTGGCATACTTTACCACATCGCTTTAAACTGTAGAAAGTAGGCCTGTCTACTGCCAATGTCTGAATATATGGCCAGATATAATGCTGATCTACATCATTTGATTAATTACTGCTGCCACAATCAACAGAAAACATACACAAAAGCCTCTTTTATGCAAAATCCATTTACCGCTTGTATTTAGTGCCTGAGGTTTTTGAATTAGCCCCAACATGTTTTCACATTTTTTGTGAGTTTTGAGTATATAACATGTAAATGAAGGACTCATCTCATTCACCATGCTTAAATTTTATTATGTATATCATCGATTCTGCTCTCTAGACCTTCATTTCAAAATATTCATATGTCCTCTTTTTCCATGTCCTGGCCGGGATTACTAAAGTGCCTAAAATGTCCAGATTTTGGCTTTGTTTTCCTATTGTTTTCATACTTGCTAAAAGTAATGACTGAAACGTAGTTTAACCAATAGCATGCAGGTGTTGTGCATAATCGACTATACATGGTTTGCGAGGTGGGATCTACAGAGAACGGTCAAAGCAAAGCAATGCAAATATGCTTACATGTAATGTATACAGACTACAGAGCACGTCAATAAGAAAACAAAGCCAAAACCTGGGCATTTTCGAAATCCCAGCCAGGACAGGTCCAGGAAAAAGAGGACATATGGTCACCCTATTTTTAGAGAATCGTTCATGATCGGTTCTTCAAAGTCTCAATTTAAAGCATGCGTCGTTTGGCTGCCAAACAAACCAGAGGATTTATGGTTATTGAAGACATACCAACAACCTTCAACATTCTTTGCTGAATATGATTGCAATCACAGGTGCAAACATCTCCTCCAGAATCAATCAAGATGTAATGGACACACTAAGACTCGAGTCTTTTAAAAAGCTCAGCGTCTGTAGATTGAGAAGATACAGCAGCAGTCTCGGCTCACTCCAGCTAAATGAGTAACTGACACATGGTCCTCATTTGTCTTCAGGGAAAAGCATTCCACCCTTTAATGGTATTATCCAGCCCTTTTTACACCCTGAACGTGCTTAATTTATTGAGCAGGTCTGGAGAATATCAAAACAAGTGAGGACCCTCTGTCTCGCAGAGGAAACATTCTTCTCAAAGCCAGAATCATATGTGCTAAATCCAATCATCGATCATTTCGGGGCAGTCTCCCATCAGCAAACTTTATTTCCAGGCTCGGTGAGCTCTGATGCATGGGAAGCTTATCTACGCACAGCCAGATTTCAGAGCTACTGTATTAAGAGAGCAGATGAAGCATGCTTTCCAGGAGAACTGTTAACCCTTAACAAATGCCAATAATCTAGGTGTACTCGTTAAAGCTGTTCAACTCGCAGCTGGGATTAACATGCCACCTGAGCATGAAACTGATCATGTGACATACATCCGTTTGTAAAAGGTTTTTATTCTTAGCATTGCATTAGCATCAAAAAACATGTTGCATTTTGCGAGAATTCTATGTTACAAATCTCTGCACTAGCCTGAATAATCTTTTACAAAAAAGTCCTGAACTGAACACCACAAAACTCACTGCCAATTATTGCAGTTGGCCGCAGCTAAACAAAGTTAGAATGTTTCCCTTTTGCTCCGAGGCAAACAGATAACGTGGGAAATCCCAAAAAAAGATTGTTTTTTGGTGGATGAGGCCTTAAGCTGATGACACACAGTGCAACTCGTTGGGTAATTTTGTTGGAAATGGGCAACGGCACTAGCTTGGGCAATGCTGAATAGGTTACTGTTGATTAGTTAGCTTGTCTTATCACATTGCCTACTTTCCAGCTGTCGTGTTTATCGTCTAACATGAGTTAGAGCCTGAGCAAACTTCAGATTTACTTCTAGCTGAGGCTTCATTTGCTGCCTAAATGTTCTTTGTTGGCTTTAACATGTTCACACCCAAATATTTCAGGTATGTTGCATTCGACGCAAGAGGCACAAATATTTAAATACGTGAGATGGCAAAAAATGGATCGCTGAGTCTTGAATGCATATTATTTCCGTTCGCTTGAAAACTAATGCAACATGAGCAAGACAAATACAAAAACATCAAGTAACGACAACTGACATTACAAACAGAAATCCAAACTCATGTCTATGGATGGATGATCATGAAAAGGCTCAAACTGACACAACTGAAACATTTACTGGGGTGTAATTAGAAGGGAAGGTTTTTTAAATTATTGTTAATTGTATAACTATCTTAAGAGAGTTTCACTCTTTGATCAGGGCCTGAGAGTGGGTGAATTATTCTTATATGTGGCTTTTATGTCAACCGAATTTTAAAACGAATACCATCTGATGAGGTGGTTTGAGTATTGTTTACTTTAAGTTGCTTATGAAGCACAATGTGAGATTGTGTTTTACCTTCTCATGCACATTATTTTAGATATTTTTGGCCATTACAGGCTATTATACAAAGAGAATGATGACATGCAACGAAACAGAGGAGCAAATAAGTCACTTGTTCTCATTTCTAGAGATAAAAAGGGGCATATTTTAAACTATTGTCAAATACACACAGAAACAGCAAAGACTTAGTTTAGTTTTCTGTGAAAATGAAGGTTTAAGTGTTCAATCTGAGGTGCTTTTTTATAATTGAAGAAAACCACAATCAAAAATATTTATTTTATAGTACTTATTTAAATAAATGTCAAAAACATATTATAATAAATGAAAATAATCATTTCTATATAAATTGGTAATGATATTTTTGCTAAGTTAATAATAAGAACAAATAAAACCTATTCAAGTGGTTTTTGAACAGACTATGACAACTAAACTGACTCCAGAAAGAGCCCTTTTTAGGGCCAGGGCAATGTGAATATAATGAGAACTGGTTTCTTTCTCACTTGATTCACATTTCGCTCTGTTCAAATTGGTCTGAGTTTGGTTCTTTTAAATGTTTGGCCACACTGAGATATTTTATAAAACACTGAACTGCGTCTTAAACTGAATGAGGGTGCATTTTTCTCTTTGTCATCAGCATGGAGGGGATGATGGGGGAGAGAAGAGGAGGGGGTGCTCATGCGCTCCTGTACTGACCTGTGCTGGAAGTTGAGCGGCAGGGCACACCCTGCTGTGCTCCCCCCCAGCTCCCCCTCCCTCTGTGGGGTCCACTGCGCCGGTGCCTCCTCTGGCCAGCATCTGGACACAGGGCAACAGGGTGAGAGGCTCAGGGCAGCAGGCTCAGACAGCGCTGACATCTGCCCCCACCGTCCCAATGACATCCCACCCCATCCTCCCCTTACACTGGGACAACATACCCCCACAGTAAATAATACAGATCAAGAGAAGAAAAAAACAGAAATAAAGTACCGTGGCATATGAGGATGGAATCAGAACAAGTCTGATTTTGCCAAAAAATGTTTGAAATGTCGAAACAAAGACCAAATCATTACCTACTAAATGCAAAGTAAACCTAAAGTCACATGAAAACAAAACGTGATGTTTAGCAGACTAGACTGCTGGACTAAAAATATCTAACCAACAAATATGAAAAACTTACTCAATGAATAAGCAATTTAGTGATATAACGTGCAGCTCTTTTCTGATGGATGTAATCTGGTCTGTCAACTCAGTTGACCTTATCTACCAATACGTGCAGTGACAACAACAGGCCAAAGCAAGTTAAGAAGTCTTGTGCATTTTATTTGTTTTAACATGCAATGAAAAAGCAATCCAGACAAGACCACGTCTTAACGCGCTCTTCCCTTTCTGAGCGAAGCACGTGCCTCCACTCAGCAAATAATGCAGGTTTGGGACACATCATACTAATTAATTTAAGAGGCATCATGATCCATTTAATGAGATACCACAACTGTGCATATTTCATTAGTCTCAAATAAAGGAAATCTGTTTATAAAAGACATTAAAAAAAAGAGAAATATGCATTGTAGTGTCCTAGAATGCTGACCGCACTAGGTAAAATCCCTCTGAAGTGGAGTAAAGCTCCCCACTCTGCAAATGAAGCTGCCTTCTCTGCCCTAAAACCATCCCACACTTGACAAAATAATAATGCATATTTCTCTCAGGTATCTGAACTATTTCAGGTCTGTGCGGAAGCACAGAAGGGCTTTTTTGTTTCATAACTGAAGGCGGCAATGGCTTATACTCAAGAATAACTGCAGAGTATCAGTGACAGAGAAGAAGTGACTAAAGAGAAAATGCATTTACGTCCATCACTAACAATCTCTGGCATTATCCTTAAAGGAGTCAGTCGTTCACCAAAAAAAAAAAGTCAATTCTGTCATTCACTCAACCTCATGTCAATGCGATGCTTTGAACAGTGTTTACACTGCCTTTTCCCATACAACTCAAAACTCCCTTTGCTGCAGCTCTCAAATCTAATTCACTTCTGCATATTCAAACTTGCCATATTATGATCAGTTATGAGACACACAAGAACCAACAGTGCTTTGCATCATTAACATGACACATGCTGTGACAAATCTTCATGCCAGTTTGAAGATGCAGAAGTTCAAATTAGATTTGCGAGCTACAGCGGAGGGGGAAAAGTAGTAATAGGTTACCTTGAAGACTGATTTATACCTAATCTAGCTCTTAAAAATTTATTTTGTTATCTTTATTGTTGGGTATGATCCATGTAATAAAAAAACACTCTTACACTCTGGAAAACTTCAGACTCCCCTTGCTTCAAAACTTGGTTGAATGAAATGCTTCATGTTATACGAATAGAAGGTATAAGTTCTTTTGAGCCTAACTTTTGCATTGTCAAATTTCAAACTGTGTGATTTTCTTGGATTTCATCAGGTCTGCATAATATACCCTTACATAAAGTTCTCCCTGTAACAATTTTTGGACCTTTCTTAAGTCTACACTGAAAGAAATTAAGCATAGAAACAATTTTCACTCAGAAATTGCTGATAAATTTCACAAACAAATAAAAGAAAGGGCAAGAAACACATTACATTAAACATGAAATTCTGAAGTAAAAACATCTGAAACAGTACTTTCTTGTAAAATATACTAAAAAAAAACAATATTTTTGTTTTATTGACAAATACGTGTATGCTTATGTTGTGTATGTGGGGAATTAAGGTGAATTGGGACATTTTTTGTCATTGAGTTGACTGTGAAAAACTGTCTCAATATATCCTAGTGTAGGTGATATTATATCATTTTTAGTTCGAGTAAAAGCACTTAGCCTAATTTGGCTGTTACTCCACAAGAAACATTTTGATTTGATTTTTTAACAGTTTGAAATGTCAGTCTGTTTCTCAAGTAAAGTTAACATATGGCTTCATAAGACTAACTCTGGTCATGTTCATTGCCATTTTATTAATACTTATTAATTGATGGAGCTTGATTGCATTAGTCCCCATTCACTTTCATGACTTTGAAAATAGCAGCCAGGTCATCCAGCAAAATAATTAAAGAAATGTTAATTCTTAGGTGAAAAATTCCTTCTTTAGATGTTTAATCTTCAAATAGACCAACACACCATTAATCTCATGGGTCTTTTGCACAAGTGAAACAAAAAGTCACCGCACAACACTAAGATCCAATAAACGCAGTATAGACATGAAAGAAATATGGTTGCGTTTTTAAGTTCCTTGTGTAGCGACCCTCCATCTCATTAATAGAAACTCAATTTGCGGACAGCTGCACACGCGCACACATTATAGGAGAATTGATTGCGCCCAACACACAATGAAAAGCATGAACACCAGGGAGGAGGAGGAGGGTAAAAGAGAAGTGAATTCATTACGAGAACCAGGTGGTCAAATGGCTTGGTGGAAAATCACAAGCTAATGACACATATACACGCACATACGATCCCTCATTAAAAAGGCAGCTTTTGTCCAGGCTCGGCGGTTGGAGTTGACCTTTCAACAGATCGCAGGTCACTAGCGAGCCATAAGAGATCAATTTCACCGCGGTCAATAGACATGCATCGACTGTACGCGAGCAGAATCTGCGGGAAAAGGCGGGAAAGTCGTCAAACCTGTCGGCTGCTTTCATCTCGAGGTTAAGTCTGACGCTGTTTGACGGCGATGACTTAATTAAGCGCGCGCTGATTATCTATGCTAATGACGAGGTAGCACATTAATCCAATTCATTTATCTAGTGGGGCCTCAAGCTGGCAGACGCTCACTGAAGACCAAATGGCTTCACAGAGCCCATGGGCTCCTGATAGCAAACATATTGGTTGACCTCTAAAGCCTTTTTGGCCTCTTTTAGCAAAATCAGAGGAGAGAAATATACTTGCGTAATTATCATTTTGGAGCGTATTTAGTGTGAATAGAAATCGGCGTTTCGTGCGTCGGCAAAAAATCTGTATAATCAAGAGATGTCGACAGTTTCAATCACATGGATCTCTAGTATTAAAAAAAAACCTTCTCGTTATAATAACTTTCATTAAGTACATTACCTAACCTTCAACCGATTATTTAGTAAATGCATTTATACTTCAGCAGATGCCTTTATCCAAAGCAAGTCATTAAAACGTCAAATATCGCGACTGTTTATCTAACGCTAACTTTTAACAACTTAAAAAAAGGGAAGATGCAAGAACACCCAAACAAATTTAATTAAAACTAGCATTTTTTTTCTAGTAAAACTGTACGTTAAATGTAACATGAGCAATGGGTGCAATGCATTCTATCACATGCGATTTTCAGCCGACGCAATTATTTATAGTGTCTATATAACGCAAAGAGATGTTCGATTTAATCTAGCTGCTGATGCACCAGCAGTTCCCCTCAGAGAAATTCTCGAGCTATCTAACAATGCTTTTCTTGAGCGCCTCTCGCAGATCTTACCTCGCCTGGGCTTCGTCGAGGCTCTCGTCGGTGATGGCCATGATCTGCTGGAGAATATCCCCTATGTCTTGCGGCGGCTGACCGAGGGACTGCTGCTTCCGAACCGAATCGGGGTCGCTCACGTCGGCTTGAGAGAGTCCGCCGAGTCCGGCCATGCTAGCCAGCATTCGTGTCTGATCATCCATAATACCTCGAGCCGAATCTCGCCGTTTCCCCGCCGCAAACCAATGAACGCGTGTATCAGCGCCCTGTCTCGGCGACCATAAACCACCGACGGCGTGAACACAAGCGTGGAGCCGAACGACCCACTATTAGATGAGAAAACAACGAGAGTGCGACTGAAATGTGGGCTTTAACCACATCAAAACGACGCGCGGTGGATGGATAAAGGTGGATGACCAGCTCGCATGGAGAGGAAGAAAAAAACCAATGTTTTAATTCCAGTATTATCTAAAGCAAACCCCCGCACACTAGCACTCCCATAAAGCAGTCTAACAAGAAAATAAAAGCGTCCCTGGAAATATGAAGTATCCCACGCGTGGCATCTCAAAGTATCGCTTCTCTAAACCGCTCACAGTCCGCGATAAAATCATTCATGTCCACAAACAACGCGACCAATCTGGCTGACAGCTATTAACGTTACAGTAGAAAAATCTCAGACGCTACTAACAAGCTGGACTAAACCAACCAGAGAGGCTAAGAAGCTAATAGAGAGGGGGAAAAACGTTCTGCTGGAAATAAATCGAAATAGAAACTCTAGCCTTCGCTTTTCAGCGTCCCCTCGCTTAGGAAAACGTAAAAACTCAACGGGCAAAACGAATCCCGAGAGCGGCGGAGGAGCGTCACGGCTTTAACGCGTAATTCCGCGATCTCCGACACAATTGACTCGCAGTGTTGGCTAGCTGCTTAGCAGCGGGGCTAGCTAGCATTCGAGCGCTGCTAGCAACAGATTCACACGGGCTCCACAAACACCCCCGGGACCGACAGCAAACTGTGCGCGAGATGCCCCGGCTTTAGGTGGACTGCGCGAAACGGCTCAGAATGGCGACGCTCAGCTCCATGCCAGCCGACTCGACTCAGTTGGTTTGTTCCCGAGCCGTGGTGCTGTCGAAGAAAGACTTGCCCCTCTCTTGTGTTTCTGCCCTCCTCGGCGGCTCTTTCTCCCCCTCTGAGCTACTACATAGAGCCATACGTCACCATCGCGCACAAAAGAGCCGCGGCTGCGCGACGCCTCTGGGGGCGACACTGAGCGCGCAGACGCCTCGCGTTACGTTTGTAAACAACTTGCGCGTCTCAAGCATTGACGCTTTAATAGATCTAAGAAATAAAACGCGAAAATTATGTATAGAATTTTTGAATCATTTTCTTATGGAAATTTATCACCTCGTGTTTTTTTTTTTTCCCTTTTTTTTTCCTGTTTGTTCCTTTTGATGCTAGTATGAATGTAACTGATAATAGTTAAAACACTGTGATTCTCTATATTTGTATGTTGTTATTATGTAAAAAAGACAGTCAGTTACAGTTTACGTTGCACAGGAAAAAACAAAACAAACAAAAAAAAAAACTTGCGCGTCTCCTTCAAACGCATCGCATGCAGGTTCTTCGTGGAAGAGGATTTTGTGTAGTAACCATAGCTGAATCCAGGCATTTGAACAAGTAAGACCATGGTAACCACTGGTAAAACAATGAATGAATGAATTAATACATAATATTTAGCATAGAAGCTGTTTTGAATATTCTGCTGGTAATTTACAGGCATATGAAAAACAGAAAATTTGATTTTCCTGTTTAGTTTTGCTCTTAAAGAAAAAGCTCACGCAAAAATTAAACTTGTCATCATATACTCACCTCATGTTAATACAAACCTGTATGAATGACTTTCTTCTGCAAAAGACAAAGAAAATATTCTGAGAAATGTCTCTTTTTGGCCCATACACTGAAAGTCAATGGGAACCTAAACTTTTATCAACATTCTTCAAACAATCTTTCGTGTGCCACAGAAAAATTTAGATTAGACATTTGGGCCTGGTTTCACAGACAGGTCTTAAATTAAGCCAGGACTAAGTTATAGTTTAATTAGGACATTTAAGTAGGTTTTTTTTTTACAAACGTGCCCAAAAAAAAACATTACTGGGATGCATCTTGAGACAAAACAATGGCTCTGATATATTTTGAGATATGTCAGTGCAAGTTTCTTTCAGGTGAAATCGCACAGACATGCATTTTAGTCTGGGACTAACCTTAAGCCTTGTCTGTGAAACTGGGGGTTGGTGTCTTTACTACGTTTTACATGTATACACATAATTTTTTTGGTTCAATGTGCCACAGGATTTGTGCCAGAAATTACTTTCTTTTGGTTTCTCAAGTTTTGGTTACCAATGACATCCATTACATGGGAAGAAAAAAAAAATACTGAGCTTGTCTTTGTGTCCTGCAGAAGAACAAGTCATACAGGTTTGGTACAACATGAGGATGAGTGAAAAACAGATCAAAAAATGTTTTGGTGAACTATACCTTTAAAATATGACTTAACAGTATAGTCTAGTGTGTCCATTAATGTACAAGATATTTATTCTGCATGGAAAAACAATCAATAGCTTTATACATGCATAAGAAAACAGATTATTAGCAAAAGGTTTATTATATATTTCTTCATAAAAGCTCCACAGTATTCACTTGATTACAAAGTAAAATTGACCATAATTATCTAACAAAAATATTATTTTCATGTTTTGTCCATATGAATGGCTAAGCATAACATCACTTATTTAAATCAATGTCTTTTTTCAAGTGCATGGACAGTTCAGATTAAAAATAAGTGGTCCCAATTTTTTTTTTGCAAACGTGGACCTTTTGGGGTAGTTCATCACTCAGAGAGAAAAGACAGGCTTCTCAGATGAATGGGTGCTGGAATATGTGGAGGGGAGAGACTCAGCCTGGAGCATTTCAATGGGAGTTTGATGATGTGTGTGCAGAGGCAGGAATGGGACAAAAGTGGTCCTGGTTTATGCTGACGCGTAGCACATCTCTCGGCTACAATCGAACACTAATCAATCTGAAGTGAGAATGAGAATATTAGAGAACAAACTGTAACCTGAACTCGTTATCACAGCGTTGCTTTCACACAGCGAGATTTTGAGCAATTGTAAATCTATATTTTTTCCATCTTTCTCCTTTCATTTCCTAGACGATGGACAAAGCGGTCCTGTGGCTCCGTGGTAAAATGAACCACAAAATTATATGTACATATCTTGCATAAGGCATACATGTATTTTAATAATAAAGATTCTGTTCTGCTTATTACACTTACTTAAACTTGGAGCATGATTTAAAGGAACAGTTCACCCCAAAATGGACAGAGGACTCATACTGTAGCCCCAAAGCAAGGGTTTGAAGTTAAAAACGTCTTGATGGATTTATTGCGCAAACACAGCTTTTCACTTCTCAAGACATTAGATGGACTGGAGTTGTGTGGATTACTTGTGATGTTTTTATCAGCTGTTTGGACTATTACTCTGACGGCACCCATTCACTGCAGAGGATCCACTGATGAGCAAATTATGTACTGCTTAATTTCTCCAGAAACAAACTCATCTACATCTTTCTTGGATGACCTGAAGGCGAGTAAATCGTGAGCAAATTTTCATTTTGGGTGAACTACTCCTTTAATATGCCCAGCAACAAAAAGACCATCTGATTTTTACTCCATACACAATGTTCCAAAGGTTTTTTTTTTGGTTTTTTTTGCAGTGATGACATAGAACCACCATTTTGGGTTCCTCAAATGACCTTCCAGTGAACCATTTTTTCTTCATATGAAGAACATTTTAATAATCTAAACAGCCTTTTTCCATGATAAAGAATATTTTGTCTGAAGAAAAGGTTCCGAGGATGTTAAAGGTTCTTCATGGAACCATGGATACCAATAAAGAACCTTTATTTTTGAGAGTGTATCTACGTGGGCAACTACTACATCACATGCATACATTAATCTTTGTCAATTGACATTTAATTTAAAAGTATTTGCCACCATGAGAATAGTTTTTCCTCTCTTGACTGTGAATAGGTATTCTTCTTAAATCTGTTTGAGGCAGATGCACCCTCGGCCCACAAGCGCTGAGCCTCATTTTCATCTAAATAAGAATCGATCCCTCTTGCTGTGCCACCCCCAGTGCTTCTAACGCTTAACCCCACTCTCCTGCTACACCACCTCCATCCCTACATTAACACAGAAAACTAAATACAAGCCAAGTCTAATCAGCCCGCATGTGCAGGAGAGAAAAATGACCTCGTTTCCAGCTCTCGAGATCGAAACGGTTAAAGGTTTTCTTTTGGGATTGTTAAAACGTCTGTCTTCAATTTCTCAGATCACAGTGGACAAAGTATTGAGAAAGAACGCCGCTTTGTTCGAACACAGATACTATTATTATGCCATGGGAGTTCAGAGCAGGTCGTGTTTAGTCTTGTGGGCATGGAAATGTGATAAACAGAGAGGATGTGAAGTGGAGAAATCACTGGGAAAATCTAAGCCTGCGTCTTGCTCAGCAGCTCTGTGTGATGGTGAATAGAGAACAAGGGCTGGACGTGTGGGGGAAGGGGTCACGGGACGCACAAGAGCAAACATAATAGATGGCTAAAAGGCCCTCAAAGAGCTCATGACTAAAGCCCAAAGGCCAGTGTCTTTTCTTTAAGCTAATATTGATGACTTAAAGCGTATAAATACTAGCTTGCGATGTTTGTCCTGGAAACAAGACACCAGCACAGACTGTTTATTCAATTTTACCATTCAGGCAGAAGGGAAAAAAAATCCAGTGATGGATGAATGAATATCATTCTTAGTCCATTAGACATACAGGACAATTTAAAGACCGTTTAAAAGCATTTGGGGGCTAAACACGGAATCAAATCTTTCTTTTTTACATAACAAAAAAAAAAAGGTTTGAAGCAAATGTCAAGGCATTTAATTATATTCAGAAATCTGTAAAATTGTGAAAAACAAAACCTTATACAGACCTACACAGGTTAAAGTAGGGCTTTGAATAACTAGGTGAATAACTAGTCTGCCATCTAGTGTCCATCTTTGCGCTTCATGTACACATTCTGAACCTTTCCTCTTACTAAATCTAGGACAAGACAGACATACAGACGTTTAGTATGAATTTAGATACTTTCTATCCAAATTATTGGTTAATATAAAAAGGACATGTATTTTGATACAGCTAAAAGTAGAAATGATAGAGTAAAAAGTAATAATGCATAACCGAAATGGTCCTATCAGATCATAGCACTTTTCTGTGGAAGCTCAGCAAACTATGGGATTCATTACAGCACTGTAAACTAGGAAGAAACACTAGATATGGGTCCTTTTATCAGCTGTCTGACTGGAGACGAAGGGAGATTCTGAAATCCAGCCCTGGCAGCTGTGAGAAAAACAAACAAACAGAAAAACCCAGCGCTTAATGCAATACACTGGACTCAATAAAAAGCAACTGGCACAATCAAGGCAGCTCCCACTGAACTGTATTTCATGTGATTTTACATCAAAAGTAGTGCTATTTTTCAAACACCACGTTTGTTGTTGATGTTTTGCACTTAATTGTCAATTAGATTTTTTAACGTTTTTGAAAGGACTGCATTTATTTAATATAAAATACAGTAAAAACTAATATTGTGAAATATTATTACAAGGTAAAATAAGCTTTCTATTTGAATACATTTTTAAATGTAATTTATTCCTCTCGCTCTCTCTCTCTCATATATATATATATATATATATATATATATATATATATATATATACACACACACACACCAATGCTTACCAATGTTGAAACAAAAGTTTCTTTTATTTTTGTAATAATCGTAATAATCCCAAACTTTTGGGATCTCACCTAGTCTGGCACTGGTCTCCTTTAGCAGCAGCTGTGATTTCTCACGGAAAGACAGCAGCTCCCTCATTATACAACACTGTGAGTCCATCTGTGAAGAAAGACAACTGCACATGACAGCAGCTCTCAAAACTGCTTTTTAAAAGAACATGACACATAACCAGTTCTCTAATTTATCAACTCTACATTGAGAATTAGTTCATTTTTATTTCTGGGCACCATGAAATAACACAAAATACATGGCATGACCAGTGTAGTCTAATTCACAAAATGAGACTTATGAGCCAGATCTCTCTTTTTTTATAACTCCAAAAACATCACAAATCAGTCTTGAGCTCACTCACTGAATAAAACAGACTGGAACAGTGACTTATTTAACGAACAAAGTTTTGTCATTTAACTCGTGTGTATCTACATAGTTAACAGTGTTAAAATATGCCACCAAAAAGTAGTATTATTTTTGTTTAGGAACGTATTCTGACCTGCGCTTATTAAAACATATAAACAAATAAGTGAACATACAAAATTTTATTATATTTTAAATGATTAAAATCTTCTTTGTGACAAATGGGTAAAACCTCGTGGTTTGAAGCTTTTTGTTAGATGAACTATTTTTACACTGAATATCATTTTAGTGGGTGTCTTCCATAAATAAAGGTAGAAATGTATGTTAGTCATCATTTTTTGCTCAGAAAAAAATAAAATGAAACCGGACACATTATAATGTACAAAAAAAAACAAAAGAAAAAAAATAAATACATAAAGCTGTATTTAACTTTTATTGTTTTAATGCTTCAAAAACCTTTATTTGCCTTTGACCCAGTTATATTATAATGCAAAATATACTTTTGTCTCACAGCCCTCAATTTTATTTTTGGCCCTTTGTAGTAAAATGTTTGGGCCCCTCTGGTATAGTTGCCATAAAATGGTAACGCAAACATAGCATTGAATAGCAAAAATGTCAACATTTATAGCAAATATACAAATTGCCACAAATTTCTTTGTGATAAGGCTAGTGAATATGTTGGCAGAACTACTAGCCTGACTGATTTCTATGGCTCTCAGGTCTGAATATATACTGTATTTGAGTCCTGAAGAACAAAGCATCACGGTCTCACCACTAGCTCCATGTTTCTGAGTAGTTTTTGCTGTCCCATGAGTACCGCCTTGTAGTCAGGTTTGTTCAGAATGAGCCGACTCTGTGAGGACTTTGCAAAGCATGATGGGTCCAGTGGCACCCCCTTCTCTTCACCCCGCTCCACACATCTGCAACGGGACAGAGATGTACAGCTAACAAACCAATTCAATGCGAATGAATCTGAGCATCCTTCTGTATCCATGTGTGCTGGTGTGTTTATGTAGTTGTGCTCACTTGTCTATTTCGGCAGCTTTGCTCCGATGTTTGTTCAATAGCGACTCCCATGACATACTTTCAGCCTGTAACCTACATGAGGACATGAAGACCACTGACATGGCAAACGCAGTCATAAAATGAATTAGATGTCCACTGTAATGTCTTAGGTGGACAAGAGCAGAGAATTACCTGTTAATGTCCTCCTGAACGCGTGCAGTGGTCATGTTAACAACAGGGTCACTGCACATAGAGAGAGAGAGAGAGAGAGAGAGAGAGAGAGAGAGAGAAATGTAATAAACTGGAGTGTGCTTCAGGATCGAAGGACTAATGATGAATGAATGTAATCAACACAGAAAAACTGACTGACCTCTCAACAGTTGGAAGTGAATTCTGAGTTTCTCTTCTGATGTCTTTAGCCAGACCGTCCCACTCTTCATGCAAAGATTCAACTGGAAGTGAATAGCATTCATATAAATATCACTAAATATATTTTAGATAGAATTATAAATAGGATTATATTTTGGACAACATTCGGTAAGTATGGGCCTTTTCTGTGACGAACCCTAATAGATGAGGTTTTGTTGAAATTACAAAACATTTTGTTTGGAAATATAAGAATGTGTTGAAAATGACACTTCCCCAAATACACTACCATTCAAACGTTTTTTTTTTTTGGATTAAACAAAATATATATATTAAAAAGTGATCATACTAGATTTTATTATATTTTAAATTATTAAAAACTTCTTTCTGAGAAATGGGTAGGTTTGAAGGATAGTGGCAAAAATTTTAATTTTTTTTTTAAGAAATCAATGCTTTTATTCAGCATGGACACATTAAATTGATCAAAAGTGTAAGTAAAGACATTTATAATGTTACTAAATATTTTTCTATATTTGTAATATATTTTTAAATAAATGCTATCCTTTTCAACTTTTGGTTCATCAAAGAATCCTAAAAACCTAAATCAGTTTCCACAAAAATATTCTGCAGCTCAACTGTTTTCAACATTGATAATAATAATAAATGTTTCTTGAGCAGCAAATCAGCGCATTACAGTGATTTCTGAAGGATCATGTGACACTGAAGACTGGAGTAATGATGCTGAAAATTCAGCTTTGCACCACAGGAATAAATTACATTTTAAAATATATTTAAATATGAAACACTTATTTTAAATTGTAATAATATTTCATAATATTATTATACCAATCCCAACATTTTTGAACGGTAGTGTCATAACTGTATAACTTCCAGCTTGTTGCAAATATTCTTTATTTAAAGGACAAATATTTTAGTAAAGTTATCCCCCAAAATGGTAAAGAAAACTTAACACGTAATATATACTAAAAACAGATAATTCCTGTGTTGAAGCTAGTGAAAATGTTTGCAGGACAAGTACAAATGTGAACGACTGGCTCGACCGGGACACCCTGACTTACCTTGAGTCTGGAGTGTCTCTGTATCAACACCAGGAACAGTGTACAGACTATTTTTGGCCCTCTTCACTGTCCTCTATGTACAATCAGGCAAAATAAATGGTTAGACTAGAAAGTAGAAAAGGTGAGAAAGTGGATTCATGGTCACAATGACAAAGCTGAATCGAATTTCCTTCATAATATGCATTTTAAAGACCTGCATAGCAGCTTTAATTAGCATCTCCAGCCTCTCATTATCAGGTAAAGACAGACTGACGGTTTCACACAGAGCTAAAAGACACAAAGAGAAGAGAAAATCAACACAATCAGAAACAACTCCAGCATGACGTCCGGTGAAAGTGTCTTTGGTTGGGCACTCACGCTGTGAGGAGCAGGAGAAGGCCGGCAGAGAGCGTCTGCCTCTGGAAGATCTCCTCCAGGATTTCCTCCGTGAGCGAGGGCTTCGTTCTGGAGCAGTAACGGTCACACTTTCCCTCGTACGGTCCTCAGCAGAGCTCATCTTCGAGTCCTCCTCTCCTAAAAGCTGCATCGCTGCAGGAGCAGGTGACTTCTGAGGAGGACCGGAGATGTGGCTACGGTCATCATGAGACCGTTTGACTCCATGAGACACTTCTGAGACCTAGTTGAGACGGACGAATTGGAAACACATCACAGCATTAGATACACATATCCATCCATGCATTTGTCACATGACTAAAGATATTGGAAGCTGTAATAAAGCGTAATGACATTTTAAAAGCATAACTAAGGAAGAAGCCAGTCTCAAAATATAACAGGCACTAAGCATGATAATGATTTTTGGATATAATGATATTTTAAACGACAGTCAGTAATATTTTTTTAATATTTTTGAAAGTCCCTCATGCTCACCGATGCTGCATTAAACTGATCACAGTAAAACACACAGGCCTGGTTTCACAGACAGGGCTTAGACTAAATCAGGATTAGGCCATAGTTCAATTAGGGCTTTTAAGTAATTTTTATAAACGTGCCTTTAAAAAAAACATCACTAGTGTCCCTCTAGAGACAAAACAAAGGCACTGATATATTTTAAGATCAACCAGTGCAAGTTTCTTTCAGTTGAAACAGCTCAGACTTACATTTTTGTCTGGGATAAGCCTCGTCTGTGAAACCGGGGGACAGTAAAAAAATAAAATAATAATAATATTGTGAAATATTATTACAATTTAAAATGTGAACTGAATTTTGCAGCCATTACGTCAGTTTTCACTACCACATAATCCTTCAGAAATGATTTTAATATGCCAATTGGCTAAATCCCAAAAGTTTGAAAGGTACATTTAAAAACAACCGAAAACAGATTTACCCTGGTATTGATGTTGCTGGCATCACACCTGTGAGAGACATTAAATGGTCATATAAGTTACATTACAACACAAGGCAAAAATCTTCTTCATACAGAAATGATCATCACACGTCAACGGGAAACATTTAGTACATATACCATATTCCCCATTTTATAAATAATGAAACACTCACGGTTCGATCTCTTCACTCTGGAGCTCCGCCATTTTCTTTCAAAGACCGCGCGCAGTGTCAAACATGCCCCGCCCACTTTCATGTCGCCGTGATGGTTCTTGGGAACTGTAGTCATATTATATTAGCGTGACATTACACATGACGATTCTCATGTTTTGATTTGTGACAATTACAAAAAGTCTGATAAACTATTATCTTATCTAATATAAAATGAACCTAGCATAAAATAATACACAAATTGCAGAGTCCACTGCATAAAGCCCAGCCTTCAAGCCTGTTACTTATGCTATTTTGAGGAAAAATGTCAACAAATATTTTATTTCATTTATAATTTTCCTGGAACAAGTCTAGCTTGCTTCTCCTGAGTAATGCCTTCCTTTAGAGTAGAGGGGAGATACAGGACAACTTAATTTTAAGATGAATATATTATTATGAATACAATTGATATATTATTATTAAAAACTTATAAAATAACTTAAGAGTAAAAAAATACATGAAATGAACCCATATTTCTTTTATTTTTCCCCTCAAACAAGTACTGTTTGTTTCCCAGTTTCTGTTTACAAAAACATGATTATAGCAGAAATACTGGCAGAAATATCAGTCAAAAAAGTTGAAAAGCACAGATTAAAGGTACATTTGCAATCTTGTTATTTACGTCCTTGCATCCCATTTTGGCATAATTATTTTTATTTATTTTTTTTATATTTATAACAAAAAAATTGAGTTAGTGCATAGAAAATAAAACAATATTTAGTGTGATCTTTAAACTTGACAGTCAACATTTTCTGAAAGTAAAAGCTAAGCCCTCCTTTCCCTAAACTTTTTTTAATTTTTTTATATTAATCTAGAGAAAATCTTGTGGCTCTGTTTTCACTTTATGCCTGCTGAAATGTTGATATGAAGAAATATTCCATTGACATACAGTATTTAATAGCACATCACACCATGTTCTGCAATCGTATCATGTCATTATTTGCATTCCTACATGTGATTTAAAGCTTTAAGTGACCATTGTAAAATAATGTACTTTCACCTTGCTTTCCTGAAAGTATTAGCCTTTATAATATCATATATTGCTATATTAATCCAAAGCAGTACAAAATTAGCTTGCTCTCTAAAAATGTACAGTATCTCACAGAAGTGAGTACACCCCTCACATTTTTATAAGAAAAAGTCATGGAAATGAACACAACGACAGCTTTTTTTGGTCATTTATAAGTCTTTCTGAGATTTGTCTTTTTACAAAATGATGAAAACAAATCCAAACAAAACAAAAAAAGAAACACTTCTTCAGAACACCCCTGTCACAGCCGTGTGCCTCAAACACACTCTCACCCTCAACACAATACTGTAGTTTTCTTGGCCTTCAGAGCGGAGGGGGTGGTTAAAGATGTCAGTAGAAAGAAAATGAAGCTAAAGTATTAAGACAGAGCAAAGACAGAGACACGGAGGAAAAGGAAACACTGGGGTGTGTACAGTATTGAGTTTCACGCCCATCCTTTCGCATCTTGCAGAGTTTGCCACCAGTCAAGTATCGTGTTCCTGTAAAGCCTGTTCACAGTCTGGTCACGAGGGGTAGCAGCTGCTTTGGTGACTGTTGGCAATAACAGTTCATTTAGGCAACCTCAGAGTTCCTTTGCCCAGCAGGAATTGCAAAACTCTGTCCACCAACAGGGCGGCGACAAAATCCAAAACTAGGACCTGGGCTATTATTAACTTAAACTGCAAAGAGAAAGAATGTGAAAACATATTATTAATCAGAAATAGCTACACATGAGAGCTCAGCAACAGACGACAAAACTGCAGCACATGCTTATAATAAACAGAGTGTCTTGTTGGTGTGGACGCTAAAAGGGTGATATAATCAGGGCCGCTGCTGGCCAAATGGGTGCCCTAAGCAGGATTGTATTGTTGTGCTCCCTCCCCCAAATATTATGGAAGCAAAAAAAAACTACTATAGGGGTTAAAATAGAACTTTAAAAAAATATAAAAGTAAAAAAATAAATAAATTGTAATTAAATTGTATTATTTACAAATTACAAATCTAGACAGTTACCTATGGCTATGATTTTATTAATACAGTTGTCTGATTGATTTTATTGTCTCAAGCATTCAGAAATCACGTAAAAAAAATTATGCAGTTTTTCGATAAAACCATGCCTAATTTTTGTAAGGGCTGTGATGTCCACATGTTTTTTGTTGAAGAAATTATAGAGGCTGCCTCATCTATATATAGCAAAAAGGTGGCCAATAATTAAAGATTAAGTGGATATTTGAATTAAATGTTTGGTCAAAAGCCTATTAAACAAGGATTTGATCGTCCCGTAAGTATATCAACTGCAGCCATTACCAGGCCTTTGGCTCCCTTTGCAGGCATTTGTAATAATAATGTACATACATTTTTTATTTTGTATTACAATATGTATTTTTAACAGTGTCATTCAATGAAACCATGATTATTAATTAGCCAATCATTAGTGCCTCATCGTTTTTATACAATGCATTGTAAGCACTGATCTATATATATAATGTTCTCTATTATAGATCAGTGATTGTAAGTCATTTTAAAGGCTGTTGTTGGCTTAGGTCTGTTTTTATAAGCACAAAAAATATTATCTTAACACCTCTTTGTAAATTATTATTTGAAGTAACAAAACCATGGTTAATTTGCGGTTACCATGGCTACAAGAACCATGATTTTTGGTTTTATTCGTAGTAAAACCATGGCTAATTTTCATAAGGGAACATGGAAACTCAGAGAGAATATTAGATCCGTTTGTGAAATTATTACTGACATTAAAACATGTTATTAACGTCAACAGCCAAAAAAGTTTCACAGGATTATCAATGTACCTGAAATTGATGCACGGGCTTCGTTTTAATCTTTTTGTTTCTTTCTTTGATCATTTGCATTCAGCTGCAAACATGAAGGTGGGCGCGGATGAAGGAATGGTCTTTAAAAAAAATTTGAGCAACTGGGATGGTGCCCCCTCGGGAGTTGGTGCCCTATGCAAACTGCGTACTCTGCGTATAGCGAGCGGCGGTACTGTATATATAATAACAGTTATTGCTCTTGGTGTGAACAAGCCTTTACTGCATGCTTAAAAGGCAAGCACGTTTCCATTGACAGTCTAGTATGTGAATAGTGTGGAGTATTGAACTCATACCTCAGTTGGAATATCCACTAAGGCGAACTGCTCATTGAATTCAGGTGAAGATCCCATCAGCAGCCCTACTATGGCGAGCCCTGATATACCGATGCTCCACAGCAAGGGCTGATTCTCAGTGAGAGACTCCATGAAAGGATGGCCCTGAACAAGACAGTGTTGAATCTAGGCTGCAGGTCTCAAATCTCATCTGTGCTTGCAGTGTTGTTATTGTTAACTAAAATTATTAAAGGGATAGTTGACCCAAAAATGAAAATTACGCCATGATTTCCTCACCCTCAAGCCATTCTAGGTGTAAATGACTTTCTTCTTTCAAACGAATACAATCGGAGTTCTATTAAATAATGTCCTGGCTCTTCCAAGCTTTATAATGGCAGTGAATGGGGGTCGAGATTTTGAAGCAAAATAAAGTGCATCCATCCATCATAAAAAGTGCTCCACACTGCTTTGGTGGGGGGGGGCTGGTGAATAAATGCCTTCTGAAGTGAACTGATGCGTTTGTGTAAAAAAAAATCCATATTTAAGACTTTATAATCCATAATCTCTAGTTTCTGCTAACTGTCGTACACACGTTCACTAAGAGAGTGGCGTTCCAGCGGATGACGGAGGACAGAGGCAAACGTGGTGATGAAAACAAAACACCAGTCATGAATTAGAAGTATAGAGCCAAGAGGAGACTGGTTGTATGAAAAATTTGGTTCTTGCAAGATTAGCATATTCTCACCGGAGCTTACGCTACACCTCTGTCCTCCGTCATCCGCTGGAAGGCCACACTCTTAGGGTGCTTTCACACTTGGTTCGATTGCTTGGTCCGAACCCGAGTTCGATTGCTCCCCCCTGCCCCCACTGGACAGTGTTCACATTATATTATTTGGGTCCAAACCGCGGTTCGTTTGCGTCATCAAGCCAGCAGCTGTTTACCCCGTTGCTTAGTAACGACGGCGCAGGAGAAGACGGCAAAATGCGTAGCAAGGCTCTCTTCAATTTTATATTTATGTTTTTGAACCGTTGGTTTTGTTTCCAAAGCTTCAGTACATAACGGCACTTACGTCTGCCTTACGAATGTACTGCAAATGCTCTAAAGTACTCTGAAGGTGAACAGAAATGAGATATACAGCTCTCTGCTTGCAGCGCGTCAGTCATGCTCGTCAAGAAAGTGAGTGAAACACACACAAACACACATTTTTATCAAATAATACGTCATTAATAGCGGTTCACTTACATGATTTGGTACGATTGCGTTCACATCAGCAGCGAACCGTACCGGAGTTCACTTGAACCGTACCCCAGACCACCCTTTTTAAGCGGACTCGGGTACAGTTCGTGGGTGCGCACCCGAGTTCGGAAGACAGCGTTCACATCATCCAAACGTACCGAACTCTTGACGTCAATCGAACCCGGGTGCGCACCAAAAGTGCTAGGGTGAAAGCACCCTTAGTGAACGTGTGTACGACAGTTAGCGAAAGCTAGAGATTACGGTTCATAAAGTCTTAAATATGGATATTTTATTTTACACAAATGCATCGCTTCACTTCAGAAGGCCTTTATTAACCCCCCGGAGCCGTGTGGAGCACTTTTTATGACGGATGGATACACTTTTGTGGGCTTCAAAATCTCGACTCCCATTCACTGCCATTATAAAGCTTGGAAGAGCCAGGACATTCTTTAATAGAACTCCAATTCGTCTGAAAGAAGAAAGTCATATAGACCTAAGGATGGCTTGAGGGTGAGGAAATCATGGGGTAATTTTCATTTTTGGATGAACTATCCCTTTAAGTGCTACAAAACATAAATTCATTACAAAGCATCATTATATGTGATTGATATCAAACTAACAATTAAAGTACCTTATAATTAATGGCAAATGTGGCCATTTGCATGGCCATGGACATGATGTATACAGTACTGTTA